ATGTCACAGGTGTCTGGCACACCTAAAGGGACATAACTCTACACAGCCAACAGATGATCTAGGCAACTTCAGAACAAGCAGCCAAGAGGGCCACGATAACAGCTTGGGGCTCTCAGCTCAGAGCAATTGGCACTCCTAGAAATACTGACTTAAAGTCATTCAAAACATACTTTTGTTAGTTTAACTATGTGTGATAAAAGTAAAACGGCCACCAGTGGTTACCATGGTAACCAATTGCCCTGATCACACATGGACAAAGTTTCTGTTTCACACAGATCAACCTGTCACCTACATCTAGACCATGTAGACAGGAAATGAACTCCAGACTGTAGCACAGCCTACATTTAGACATGTTGTTTTGGGGAGTCTGGAGTATGGTTTGGGATAGTTTGACCATAGTTGGCAAAGTGACATTTTAAAAGAATGGAACCCTTGGGTCTGCGGTTTGCGGTATTCGTATGTTGGACTCCTAAAACCTGCTTCAAAACCCCTTCATCTACTTGAAGTAAATGCAAACAGACCCTGTCATCTTGAATGTACAGATTATCACACGACGGAAACTACGTACCAGTATAAACTGTGTTCCACAGGAGATATCGCTTGTGTGAGATCAGACGATATCTCTTAGAAGATATCATTTTGACAGTAGATTTTGCACAATGCCATGACAATGCTATGACGTCATGAACTTGATGACGTCACAATGCGATGACATCGCTGCACTACAAATCTAATGCAGTACTGTGTTCAGAGATGTACATTTTTATTTAAAACTTATTTTGATATCTGAAGACACTCGGGTGAGATTCTATATATATATTTGCTTGCTCATCTCGAATCCGAGCTATCACGTAGCTTTGACTTGGTACCAGCTACAACTTTAATTCACGATTTTGAAAATTTACCTTTATGTTGGATTTGTCACATAAACATTTTTGAGAAGCACCAATGAGCATCCATAATGGTTAGCAATTATCCCACTGTATCTAATACCTTTCATCACAAATTTAACACCACTATAAAAGTACAGAGCCATTTGAACCAATTCTTCATCCAATATTGTACTGCCTATTGCAATGAATTGTAATGGTAATGTTTACAAACAAAAGATTCTGAACACAGGATTAAAAACATGGCAGCTCTTCCCGGTTACATCAAAAGTGCAAATCCAAATCCAATTAAAGCTGATTCCACGTACATTATTCAAGCAGTGAATTAAAAGACTGAAGTAATATTGACCCTCTGTTGTTTACGGACAAAAAAAAATAAACTCCTGAGGCAACATTATCACACAATATTTAGAACAGGAGATAAGTTTCTGCTAACACCAAGACCACAAGCCACTCATTGAACTCCTGTAATTGTCTCATAGCTGCTTGGCCTAATACAGTACATGTACACATTTTGTCAGTCGTACATACGACACATGTACAATGTACATTATTTGTCACAGTTGATATCTATCAATGCAGGCAGGTACCTTTAAATTTGCCCACACAGGTCGTGTACGTATTTCTGGTGTGTGTAATCATATTGATATGGGGCTTGTTACAGATGGTATAGACAAACACATAGTCTCTGAATATATAGAATTTTGATATTAACAAATAATCCCATTTAAACTGAAAAGGAGCCCATTTTCAGATAATCTCATTGGTCATTTAATAAACTTTCAGGACAAAAGGGGGTGGTTCAATGTGGTTCAGGGACTGTGAGAGGGACATGGTAAGCTGTCAGTGAGTCAGTGGGTGGTTGAGTCAGTGAATATAGCTGAACACTGGACCAGTCACAGCTGGGACATTAGTTGTGTAACAACTGACGGGGTTATCGAGATATTCACGTCTTGCTCACACTTACTGACTTAGGATGAAACTACAAGTTTTACATAAAACTCTAAACAACCAAAACTCCAAAAACACAACCTCAGATGAAAAACCACTAACTGATACACATGATATTAATGTTGAAATCTGGGCTGAATATTGCCAAAGTGTGTTGCAATATAATAATATACAGTTATCAGTATTGCGTTATGTATTGCGACAGTGTTTGAAAGTGACTCACGGTTTTACCTCGACTCACAAACATGGGGTCTCAGCGACCCCGATAATTAGTTTTAAGTGAGTGAGTGAGTGAGTTATGTTTTACGCCGCTTTTAGCAATATTCCAGCAACATCATGGCGGGGGACACCAGAAATTGGGCTTCACATATTGTACCCATGTGGGGAATCGAACCTGGGCCTTCGGCGTGACAAGCGAACGCTTTAACCACTAGGCTACCCCACCGCCCTTATTAGTTTTAAGGGTCCTTGTGGGAAATATGAGGGTCCTGTGAAGTAACAGTGTAGAGAACTGTACGTTTTGATAATTTCTTTAGAACCTGGAATGAAAGATTAATCACGTGGCATGAAACTACCAAAATCTTAAAGTCATAGGTGTGTAGTGGGTACAATAAATAATATAGTGTGGCCTTCTCGATGCAGTGAATTTTTTTCCCATTCTCTACATTTGCATGTTGTGTAAAATCCGATTGAGTGACACTGATTGTATATGCCCATTCTATTTTCTACATACTAATGGCCAAAAAATACATGTTGTGGTTTCAATAAGAGTAGTCTCAAAATTAGGTTAGACAGGAAGAATTTCTTTCTTCCTTTTCTAACCAACATACATTATATGAAGCTGAATATCTGTAAACTTGTATATCGCCTGTATGCTGTGTGTCCCCCCAGAATCGTGTAGCGTATAATCACAGGATATGCCCTGCATATTCTGGGAAGAAAAAACAAAACATTAACTTTTAAGAGTGACAGTTAAATGTCTCTATTTGTATGGTCTTCAATCTTGAAGTGACAGAACAACTCTGCCAACCTTTAAAAGTCATAGTCTTTCCTTTTAATTCAATTTCCCCAACACAACCATCCCCCGCCAAAACAAACCGCCAACTGTCACCCACGCAGACTTGCTCCTGTCTTCGACTGCGTCTACCAGTTTAGAATCCCATCCAACATCACTATCATTGGTTCTACAGTCGCTATCATCCTTGTTTCCATTCATGATATTGATGGTACAATCAACTTTTCTTTGTCATTGTGCTTGTTGTGAACAATTTAGTGCAACCAAAATTATTGCATCACTGCGTTGAGCTAACCAAAAGTTTATTGACACAGTGAGTGAGTGAGTTGGGTTTTATGCCTCCTTTAGCAATATTCCAGCAATGTCACAACGAGGGACACCAGAATTGAGCTTCACACATTGTACCCATGTGGGGATTCGAACCTCCCCTCATTGACACAGATTGCAATGGGGGAATTGTGACTGAAGAAAGAGCAGAGCAAAGCTAAATTGAATAATAATAGCGGTTGGAAGCAGTGGGTACTCTGATTCGTCTGCACCACTGGAAGTAAAGTAAATCAGGACTATCTTGAATTTCAATTCACCATGGTCAGTCATTTTGTTGTTATGGATAGACGAGCTGGGGATACAACTTGGGAAAAATATCATTTCCTTGTTCTTGCAATTTTGTCAGTTAATTTCAAAGAGTTTAATCAATTGTGAATGAATTTCTGTGTAAATGTTAGCTTAAAGTATAGTAATGACAAAACTTGTTATATTCTTTTACCCAATATATTAGTTCTCAGAAAAAATATCACAATTTTGTTTGAAAAGTGTATTTGTAGTCCTGTGTGTCGGTAATACTGGTCTGTGCTCTCTCTAATCAGGGGAGACCCGTGAAGATCCAGGGTTAGAATTGATCTTCAGTAACCCATGCTTGTCATAAGAGGCGACTAATGGTATCAGGCTCGCTGACTTGGTTGACACATGTCATCGTATCCCAGTTGCCTAGATCAACATGATCGATCATATTGTAGATCACTGGATTGTGTGGTCCAGACTCGACTATTTACAGACTGCTGCCATATAGCTGGAATATTGCTGAGTGTGGCGTAAAACTAAACTCACTCACCCTGATAAGGGGATTAAAACATGCACCTCAAAATGGACCTGTTGACATGCCCCCACTGGAGCTTGGCTCTTACAGCAAATATATATATGGCAATCTGTCAATTGTGACAGGTGAGCATACACGCAGTGACAGTAGTATGGGGTAGGGACAGCGATCATCGACTAATAATCAGCTCATCACCCCTCCACTCCACTACTGTCCCATATGTAAAGACTTTACAAGAAGGATTTAGGATAGCAAAGTATACCCAGTACTACCAACACTCGGATCATGCCTCACATTCAGAGTCACTGTGGCTTCAACTGAATGTAGATACATTCCCAAGATTTAAATCCAGTATATCTTGGAACCCTCAGATTTATCATCATTTTACAATTAGTGGATTTGCTTAATGTGCAATAGTCGAGCCATATGACTGTGGCATCTAAATAATCTTGCCCAGTCAGGACCAGATAAACCTATGATTGATATCTAAAACTGGTTTGTCTGTTTGTTCGATGTGCAGGGTCACTCTGCAATATTCAGACCATATTACCATGACTGTGAAACAATCTGGGCCCCGTTCCTCAAAGCGATTGTAGCGCTACGACAGTCGTAAGTCTATGTTAAAGTATGGCAGTTACGATCACCTTAGCGCTACGATCGCTTTGAGGAACAGGGCCCAGGACTAGAAAACCCAGTGATTCATGTCCTAGACAACAATCACTGACGTAAGTACAGAGACAACCAATCATGGCAAATCCAAACCATTACGGAGCCTTAAACAATCAACATTGGTTGCTGAAGGCCTAATTTGTACATGCATTTTATTATTCAGGAGTGTACACACTTTTTAGTTCATGCATAAGTGAGTAAAACCACTTTTCCCTTTTAATTTATGTCAAAACTTTTTGAGATATTAATGTGAAATGTGATGAATTTGGATTAGTTTGACTTTCAAAACAAGATGGCCGCCCTGCCTGACCTCCCTACGTAAAGTTTGTTCAATATTATACAAAAACATGGTTTAAACATAAGATGAGCTTCTCCTTACCTTGCGACTATCTCTTGTAGACTGCTTGTATCGATGCCACCGGCATCCCAGCATGCCTGTCATACAGACGAGGCAATAGTTGTGTCGGTAGTACTGTAGTTTGGCGTGGCTTACTAGTTTTCCTTTCATTATGGTTGACTAGGCGACACAGACTCGTCAGGGTGTCGCTCACACAGGTAATATCACAGACGTAAGGCATTGAGGCAGGTGGGGTACACAGCCTCATAACATCTGCAGAAAAAAAGAACATGAATGAGTGAGTTTGGTTTATGCCACTTTTTGCTATATTCCAGCAATATCATGGCGGGGGACACCAGGAATGGGCTTCACGCATTGTACTCATGTGGGGAATCGAACACAGGTCTTTGACGTGATGAGCGAACCCTACCCCACCGACCCTCATGAATGAGTGAATATTGATAATGCTGAGTAAACAATAATTGGACTGTGTCATGACGACCTGTAGATATCTGAGGTTGGTCAAACCAGTGGTCAACATCAAGAGCAACAATCCATGCTGTCTGTTATGACTGACACAGGATATCATGTCCTGATGATGTACTTTCAGAGATCTGCAGAGATTTCTTATTGTTTAAAACAGGCAGCAATATTCAAGCCATATCTGGGGCCAAATAAAAAAATGTTGTGGTTCTGATTACACCTCTTTAAAATTTAGGGTAGGTAGGAATTTTTTTCTTACATTTTAACTAATAATAACATATACATATATATATCAATGTACAATTGTTTATTTAATCAAAGCGGCCATAATGTCGACTTTCTCTATCAGAAGGACCAATGTCCATTGGTGCCGGGCAAAACAATGGTATCGAAAGCTTATTTTATTCATACCACTTAAAAAAATATCGGCACCAGAATTTAAGGGTCGGTCGGGTAATCGGAACCACAACATTTTTTAGGCCTGGGCCAGACAAACCAGTGATTGATATGATGAAAATATATATGAAATCAAATCATCAAATCAGATCACCATGATCACTTGTTCAAATTTATTTGTCTCTTGAGATGAGCTGCTAAGATTGATGCTGACCCAGCAGGTGAGCTAAAAGCTACAACAGCGACATAGTTTTATCAATAATGTGATAGCACCAAACAAACATTGCACAATTGGTAATTGGTCACTTGCATATGTACCTGATCGACCTATCTTGCTGATTATTAGTGGTGACAGACAGACAGACAATACTGTATTACCTTAAACATGTTAAAAGGAATTCGTTTTGGTGAGCTTGACGAAAATACAAATGAATAACAACATAAAATATGGCTTTACGTCTTTAGCAATATTCCAGCAATATCACAGTGACAGAAATCTGCGGCACACATTTTATCCATGTGGGGAATCAAACCTGGTCTTTGGTGTGACGGGCCAACACCTTAACCACTTGGCTAACCCACTGCCCCTTGCTTGCTTATTATGAATAGACACATCACTCTTGCTTGACAAGGTACAAGAATCTGTATCGAAACGTCACACTCACGGAATAAAGAAGTTGTTATCCATAAAAAATTGTTCTATATGACACATGAAATGATCATCTGCTAAAATCAAGCCTGTTACAGGTCACTAATTTCTGCAGGCAAGTTAATTAAGTTTTGAGGGGCAATGCCCGGTTTAATTTTTTTTTATACAGTGCTCGTGCAATGCCATTATCTGAACTGCCGAAGCAATGAATCAGCGTACAATATTTTGTGAGGTGATTATCAGGACCATTGAACACATAGACGTGACAGGAACCATAATAATCTTAGTCGTGTTATATTTAGTCTCACAGTCACGTTCTGAGTGGCGCGTGGTTCACAAAGCTCATCGTACGATACTCGCTGCCCAACAATGACATTGACAGGTTGAACACATTTCGAAGATGTAAAAAGAATGTTTGTGTTTCAAAGACATACTATTTTTCAATGAGATTTAAGTGAAGTAACAAGTAACTTATGACCGTCTAGTCTTCTTACAATTTTTTCGACACAATTTCCGGAAACAACAGAATGTGACTTACCACACGAGCACAACTCACACAAACACAGCGGGTCGCCATGTTGGAATGTCGTTGAGGTCAGAGGTCACGTCATGACAAGTGCTTGCATAGAAAACAACGGAAGCAAAGAAACGGAAAATGACTGTCGAATTCACAGTACATTATAAAATACAACCACAATGATTATGAATTTCGCCAATCATCTGTATGTTAAATTACCCATTTCATGGAATGAACTGTGAATGCAAAACAATACAAAACGGAAAAACTATAACCCGATACTTGTGTGCATTAAGAAGAAAGTACTTTCACAAGACGTGATTTACAAAATAAACGTAAACAAAAATAATGCCGTGTCTGATGACCTATAATACGCGAAAGGTAATTTTGGTTTTGTAATATTTGGGTAAAATAATAATAATGCCTATTTAATTATTTGCTGATCACATGCTCAATTAAACATCTTGATTACAGCCATAGAAATATACCGTGTTATTCTTTCATTTATGATTATACATGTATAAAACATATCATTTTACTGATATTTGTATTTTTATTAAAAATATGATTCTAAAATATTGATTAAATCGTCATATGCATACTTCTGTTTCTAATATTGTACACACAACATGTTTCAAGTTACAAATGAATATCAAATATATTAAAATTAAAATTTTATCACCTCTTAACTTAAATAACATGAAAACATGGAATAAAACGTTCCTTTCCATTTACATATATTCATGAAGAATTGTAAAATGATTTCCTTCAGTCGTAAATCCACATTCGTAGTTGGTTCGCGACTAAGCTCAAACCACACAACCCTAAGCGAGAGAGAGACTGCTTGTGCAGCTGACGTCCCGACTTAAGCTTGAGAGCGGTAAGGAGTGTGTTTACTCCCCGCACAAAGCAAGCAGAACTGCTTCAACGATATATCAAGCAAAAATCGCCAAGGGACAAGCCCACTGTCTGTAAAAGCACTGGTATGTATTTCAAAAGGATTGATTTTCTTGTGAACAGTGAAGCTAAGCGGTGTAAGCATTGCTGATGTGGCGATCAATGGCTGTTGTTAGCGCTCACGAGCATTTCGCTCTATGGTTGACCTACTTTCAGAAACTAACAGCACGGACTGCTACGCCTCATATAACTTGAAAGTCAGTAACGCCATTCATGTACCGTTAGAAAAAGCGCTCACAGAAAGACACTGTCCATTTATTTCTTTGTTACGTAATTATACTGTTGGTAGCAAGGCACATCGCCGACAACGCTCTTTGTTGGGTCACAGTGACCGACTCAGCAATGAGGCCCTATCAGGGTTGAACATGCGTGTTCATAGCAGGTTCAGTTTGTTAGCCCAGGCGTGACGTGAGATAAGATAAGATGAGACAACACTTTATTACCCGAAAGGGAATTCCTTTTGCATCAAACAGAGCATGATACAATAAAGTATGTATGGCAATTACGATAATAGATGATTATAGTCCGTTTGGCTCAAAAGCGGACCGATGAATTGCAGTCTAACTCGAAAACTAATAAACATAAAATACTCAATGAAACGCTGATCATAATCAAACCATCATACCCACTCTGTGAGGTTTTTGCAGAATTTTGTCCTAAAAATATATTTTTTAATAATCTATCATTAAAATATTGACACAGTTCACTATTTGTTACGAGGGAGGAGTGCAGAGAAAGGGACAGCCAGGTGTTCGAGAACGGATGGAGACGGCACAGCACAGGTTAATGCATAAATAACACCTGGCTGTCCCTTTCTCTGCACTCCTCCCTCGTAACAAACAGTGTACTGTGTCAATATTTTAATGATAGATTGTTAAACAACATTATTATTTTTAGGACAAAACTTCTGCAAAAACCTCACAGAGTGGGTATGATGTTTTGATTATGATCAGCGTTTCATTGAGTATGTTATGTTTATTAGTTTTCGAGTTAGATTACAATTCATCGGTCCGCTTTTGAGCCAAACGGACTGTAATATGGACACAAATATAAAATTAATACACCCATTAATCCACACGCTCAATACACACCAACACACATAATTATACAAGTCATATATGCACACTTTTCTGTATTCCTATAAATCACATACACTAACTCAACAAATGTACAGATATATATCAGTGTCCATGAAAGTATATTTTAAAAACATTTCAAGTATTATTTTTCAATGTCTTCCCGATGGCAAAAGTGAATATTCAGAGTTTAACAATTGTGATGAATCTGAAATGATTTTCCCGTCATGTGATAAAATTTTCCCATCATGTGATAAAATTTTCCCGTCATGTGATAAAATTTTCCCGTCATGTGATAAAATTTTGCCATCATTTATGGACGAATGATGGTCTAAATGTGTACAGGTAATTTTGTAACTTATATTCACAATCTTGAGAAGTTTGTTTTTGTTTTGAAGAGAACCGCACCAACATGGCACGGAAAAAGACAAGATGCTTCGTACAAAGGATGTGTAGAAAATTTTCAACAATTTCACAAAGTTCATTTTAGTAAGGGTATAGCACAGGTCAGCACCTTACTTCCTGATCAGTGGACTGTACCATGCTGTTTTAATGTGTAGGCAGAATGGGACTGTAGGCAGAATAGGAAGACACCTAGCAAACTATCAACTGTCCCGTGCTTTCCTCGTCTTGCTGGAACCCGGTGTATTGTAGGCTCGAAGGCCATGTCAACAAAGACGCGGAAATCCGCTGTACGGAGTTGCCTTCCTTACTGTGACCAGGACATGTAGAAATATGATAAATGATGTCTAAGGCCTGCATAATTTGGACCATACGTTTTTGGGCATCAACCCAAACAAACCCTTAATCAAATAACTCATAAATACCAACATAAGCCCAAAACTCCAGGCGCTTCCTCGCAAAAGACACTTTTGTATCGCAACGCGTAACAAACCCCATAACCAAACACAACCTAAATAAGCTAAAACAAAACACCGAAAATGCATAAAATAAACACAAAATGCCAAAACAATGCCAAAAACACAACACTGTCTACATACATAAACACTGGGCAAATTGGTGCTACATTTACACAGACGGATCCTATGACCCGGGTACAAAACGCACAGGTTTCGGCACCCACATATCACAACCGTCAAGACCAACTAAACCATACAGACTCCCAGACAGCCTATTTATTATCATTACAGAACTAATGGGTAAAGTAGCAGCACTCCATGTCCCGCTCGTCTTACAACACAGTAGAATTTTAATTCCTAAAGACTCAGGTGCTCCAAGCAATAAAAAACAAAAAAGTAACCTAAAATAATAAACGAAATATTCAAAAGCACTCAAGATCTACAAGCCTTAGGGAAAAGGGGTTCATGTGCATCCCATGCCGACATGTTTGGCAAAGCGGCGCTTAAACTCTCAGAAGTAACTGGAACATACCATTATCTAAAAACGAAATCAAAGCCAATCAAAAGAAAAACCGTCAAAAAAGAGGAAAAGTAAGTACCAAAAATTATATCCTAAACCAAAATATTTACACCAAAAACCACTCAAAAACTAAAAATCTACCATAAATCTAAAAATAATCTTAGGGCTATAACCAAATTGCGAACAGGTCACACAAATTTATATTCATATCTGCTTAAAATATAGAAACCCAAACAGACAAATGCATACGTTCACTGCAACGAAGCAGAAACGTCCGAACACGTCCTACTACACTGCATGTACTACCAACACAGAATGGTTCTCCAGAATTCACTGGACACAAACACACACCCAACACTACAAACACTCCTGAGCCCTCAAAATAACAGCCAAACCTCCAAAGCCCCAGGTATATTTCCAATCAAAACCGGGGCGGTGGGGTAGCCTAATGGTTAAAGCGTTGGCTCGTCACGCCGAAGACCCGGGTTCGAATCCCCACATGGGCACAATGTGTGAAGCCCATTTCTGGTGTCCCCCGTCCTGATGTTGCTGGAATATTGCTAAAAGCGCCGTAAAACCAAACTCAGTCAGTCAGTCAGTCCGATCAAAACCGACCATCCAGGTTGCATGCAATCCCACATAACCAACCGGAACCAATATAAAAACCAAAACACACAAGCTGAACAACAAAACAAAACAACCCCATAGTTCAGCTCCCCCTATTACTTCAGCTCCCCCTATTACTTCGGGTCAATTTCAAAATACAAGATTCATGCAAAAATTAACGCCCTTAACGCCCCCTTCAGATGACCATATCTTTCGATTAAAACACCAAATGGCTTGGAGGGCCCGTTAGACTAACAACTAGTCTCTGATGAACATTATTTTACAGACAAAAAAGCTCATAATAAAAAAATAAAATATAATGAAAAGGAGCCCTGAGACTTTCTTCATTTTAATTTTTCCTGAAGCTGTGGAAATCTAGACTTGCCACATTTTCTAGACTTGCGTGGGCTTTCTTCGATATATTTGCTTCAGGGTCTGTATGACAGACTGAGGGCCCGTGTGCGAAATACGCATCATGTCGGAAAGCGCACGTAAAATCTCAAAATCATTATCATCATGAAAGTTTTGGCGCTGTCCCTCCACATGAAGCTAACACTCTGTGATAAATGAGATACCCTTCGAGGCGGCGTTACACCAAACGCACTTACTATTCTGACAGTATTATTCCTCGCCTGTTAGTTATGATTGTAGTTTTATTTTATGGTCTCTGATTATGGAATAACTGTGAAATCGATGGATACTCCTTGTCGATCACTTTTGTGATATATAAGGACCGTATGTTATGATTGATTAACTACATAAACGAATTAGTAGAATAGAAAAATCTGTAGCGGTAACGTTTCTGATTAGGAAAGGGCCCTTGTCACAGATATGACAAGCTGGTGAAAATATGACCAGCAGCTGCTATGCAGATTATGTCCACGAGAAACACTGGTCAGATATGTGTCAAACTATTCACAAATGCGAACAGCTAAGCAGAATGTTAGTCGTTTATCTGCCTTTAAAAGCAGACAGGATCGGGGAGCCGCCAGACAGCGGGAAGAGCGCGGACAGACCAGTAGAAGGCAAGCAAGGGACAAGGAGGGACGAACACCCACCAGCCAATCCAGTCCAGCTGCTGCCGAAGTGTCCGACTGACTTCGCTGCCTTACACTAGTAGTCTCTGTCGGACTCAGTGCAAACTATTAGCCCTGCCTCACATAGAATTGCGAGAACAAATCACCCATCACGTAGTGTACGACTCATGTTGTTTGCGAGTGTCAGAGGTGTTACACACAATTAGCAACCCATCATAATTAGACTCAGCAGTCGCCCGTACTTCAAATAATCAGTAATCGCCCGTACTTCAAATAATGGCTGTAAGTACCAGTCACTGCGATAATTGTCAGTGTGTTGCTTCTACTTTAGTTTAGTAATTTGTCAGTGCTTGAATGGTGGTGACAATCGTTCCTACATGTTGTCATGATAAACATTATGTTGTGTATTCTAACTTCAAATTGCATGCAAAATTATTTTGAACGATTGGCCTTAATTTTGCATGTTTTTACTTCAGGTATAGCTGTACTTGCTGCAGCTAGTAACCATGGCGATGAAACCGGAGCCGATGGAGCTTGAAGGAGAGGGGTCCGTCTATCCCATGCAGCTGATTCAGAATGAAACCCAAAACAATAGAGCATTTCACATAGAACAGACAGACCCCCTTGCCATGGCAGGAGACATCAATAACGACATCGACGCCATCATTGCATCCACATCTGGGAGCTTCCTACAAAGTGGTAACCTTGACCAGTTTTGTGAGGAAACCAACGAGCTGAAGCCCATGCAGGAGAAACCCCACAGTGCAGTGTCTGAGATTCTGCTGGGGAGGGAGCAGGGGCACCCTGGGGCACGGGGCAAACATTACCAGGACTCCCACTTTCCCACCTACACCATCGCCCGCGGGGAGGTGGAACTCAATTCCAAGTTCCTTCCCAAGAAGTACAAATGTGCGTTGTGTTTGTACAAGACCAGCTACAAATCTGACCTCAACAGACACATGAGACGTCACGCTAATGGGAGAGAGCTTGTGTCGTGTAAGGACTGTCATGCCTCATTCACATCCCAGTCCACACTTGTGTTCCACCAGATGAAATGCCCAAACAGTCGCGGCCCCACATCAGGAAATGTGATGGTGAGCTGTCAGATCTGCCCCTACTCCACTTCCTACAAGTCAGACCTGACCCGTCACATGAAGAGTCACTATACCCACGAATTTGCATGTGATGTTTGTCTGAAGCCATTCAAAGTACAAGCCTTAGTTGACCATCACAGACTGACGGTTCACAACATCGTGGGCGGTGATGCTGGGGCTGAAGGAACGCATACCTCAATGGTTCAACACTACAACCCCTACCACCAACCCACTGCTGACACGGCTCGATCCCTGATATGATATTTCTCCAAGACACAAGCAGCACAACTCTCACCTACGAAGATGCACAGATTGTAAATCAGATTGAAGGTGCGCCATACAGTGATGGGATCCACGTGGATGCTGTAGCCGGGGATTGTGTGGTTATTGAAGATGATGAACAGGAGAAGGCTAAACCTGACCCTGAGTTACTTGTCACGGATGACAGTGTTAACGATCGCCCAATGAATAGAGATTATGTGCATTCTCGTCCTGCACCGGGTCTTGTCACAGCCAACTCTCAGGGAAACATCCGGATTGGTCAGACAGCAAAACAAAATGGTAAAACCAGTCGATCGGTAACACCTGATATGGGTAGCAAGAGTCAGTTACAGAGACAGAGCCGAGTCAGAGAGCTTCTGTCTCTGAACAGTAGCAAGCAGGCTACCGTCACAGTGCCTATCAGGCAATTCTGTTGTGAGAACTGTCGGGGGATATATGGCTCGGTCAAAGAGCTAATGAACCACAAGAAATCCTGCCTTGGATCAAAGACAGCACAGAGGATTCACAGCTGCAGTCTGTGCTCCTTCCAGACATACAATGTTTTGACGTTACAGAAACACAGAAGCAAACATTCTGCGACAGTGTTTAGATGTGAAGGCTGCAACCAACCCTTCTTGAAAGAAGCCAGTCTTATCAAACATAAACCCTTCTGCCGGAAAGCAATGGCTGATTCCTTAGTTAGGATGAAGTTTGGGCAATCCGGGTTGTCAAGAAACAGGACCAAGTCCTCTGATGCTGTTCTGCAACGGAAACACAACTTTGCAAAATCCCATGTTCCACATCCAAACAAAGACCCGTCCACAGTGACAGATCAACCCAAGCAGACACAAGTCAGTCTGTCTCCTCACTGTCATCCAGTCCAGGGGAGATACTGGCTCATCCTCCTGATACTGGTCGTTTTGCTAGACTCATTTCAGACTTCGACGACTTTGCAAGGAAGCCTTATGCCTGTGCTCTTTGTTTCTACCGCTCAACAAGTGTTCGTGTCCTTTCAAAACACGTGGAGAATCATCTCACTGGCTGCAATGTTGACCCAATCCCTGAGTCTGCAAGATTCCGAGTTCAGAAGTCAAGATCACAAGTGTTACATTCACAGTTATTACCAACACACCCTGGACATTCTAAACCTCCAGTGGACGTTCAGAAGGAAGATGTCAGCAGAACCGCCCAAACTCACTGTGAACTCGTAGCACTAGACGAAACCCAGTTTATTAGTAATCCTGTCCCAGCCAGGATGAGACATCAGGCATTGGCACAGACTGGGACTATAAGACAATGGCAGGCTCGGAGACGGGCTCGAGTGCCGCGATTCACCAAGGCGTTTGCCTGTCATGTGTGCAGCAAGCAGTTCACTGTCCGGGGTCTTCTGCAGCGGCACCTGAGGAAGATGCATAAGGATGACATGGACACGGGCGAGGTGCTGTCTAAAGATTCGACCTTGCCCGTACTAAAATCCGTGACTGCTAAATACTAAATACATGTATTCGGTTTTTACAGTTTATTTTGCAAACTCGTGTGTAAAGAATGACGTTGTTCATACCAAAATCCGTGACTGTTAAAGACGAAATACATACATATTCGTTTTGGACAGTTCATCTTCCATCCTCGTATTTACATTTGGACACCGAAGAACTACCTTAAAGTCTTGTCTTTTGGCAAAGTCCATGAAGCAAGACTAATCCTGCAAATTTGGCCATGTGTTGGTCATTAACGTTGCATTTCTGTCAGTGACCTAAAGGTTCGGACGCCAATTATCACAAATATCATAGTCGATGTTCTGACAAACTGTCTGAGACATCATTACAGTGTTTGGCCCATATATTGTGTCCCAGACTCTCTTTAGGATATGGACGATTCCCCACATGGGAACAATGTGTAAAGCCCATTTCTGGTGTCCCCCGCCGTGATATTGCTGGAATATTGCTAAAAGCGGCGTAAAACTAAACTCAGTCAGTTTAGGATATGGAACCGCCGGTCAGTTGCTCGGCTCTGAGGTTTTCTGTGTGTGATGGGGACGTCCTGATATGTATGGACTTCTGTACAGTTCAACGTTTTAATGTATGATACAATATATTCTCTAAGATCCTGACACGCGTGGTTTGTTTCATGTGATGACTGACTGTTACAGTACGACATACTGTGGGTAGTGCGTGTTTCAGTGTTACGTATGGATTGTATGCTGAGCGTACTCCAGTTCTACGTATTGCTCATATCCAGAGCGTATAACAGCTCTACGCATTGCGGCCGTACCGTGCGTATTACAGCTTTACGTATTGCAGTGTGGTGCGTATTACAGTATTGTGTAATGCTGGTGTCCTGGGCGTATTACAACATTACCCATTACGTATGGATGAGAGGCGACCAACGGGATCGGGTTTTCAGGCTCGCTGACTTGGTTGACACACGTCACCGTATCGCAATTGTGTAGATCTATGCTGGTCCAGACTCCATTATTTACAGACCGCCATAAAGCTGGAATATTGCGGCGTAAAACTAAACTCACTCACTCACGTATGGGTGGTATACTGTATCTATTACAGTAATACGTATTGCAGTTGTGCCGTGCGTATTACAATTGTACGTAGGCTTGTGTTCGTGCCTATTACCGTATGACGTATGCTCTGTATAGTCTGCGCTTTACAGACTTACGTATGTTTTGTATGGAGCGCGTATTACAGAGTTACGTATATATGATATTATGTGCGCTTTACGGTATTATGTACCTGGACCTCCTTTCACAAAGCACTAAGATGATCGTAAGTTACTAAGATAACCTGAGTGCAATGTTAAAGAATGGGAGTTAAGGTTAACCTTAGTAAAGGTTGCTTCGTGAAAGGAGCCCCAGGTGTGCTTTGCGCATTGGAATATGGCATGAGGCAAGAATGGTGGATGTAACCCAACAATACGTACAGCAACTATAGTTTAGTATTACGCATTGAGGTGAGGTGAGGTGAGGTGATGTGAGGTGAAATTGGGTTTATCGCCGTGCTTGAGAATATTTCGCTCATATGACGACGTGCATGCGTGTGCATGTGTATGTGCGGCTGCTTGTACTAGCCCAGACTTAAGCTGGTTTTATAGTGCTAGCCCACTGAGATACCATGCCGCAGTGAAGCATGAGTACCCCACTCAGACACATTATACTGACTCCGAGCCGACCAGTCGTTGTTGTACCCATTAATGCCGAGCGCCAGGCAGGGACCAACAAGTACCATATTTTAACGTCTTTTGGTATGACGCGGTCGGGGATCGAACCCGCGACCTTCCGCTCTCCGGGCGGACACTCTAACCACTACACCACGGAGGCGGTTTTACGCATTGAAAGTGGATCCGGCACCGTATTGTACGTATTGTAGTATAACGTATGCACAGCATGAAGTACAAACTGCAGCATCACTTACATATCGTATGTCGGTAATATCACAGTATGACGTACGACTAGAATAATATACGTACTGCAGTGTTACGTGGTGCTACTATAGACTGGAGGTAGGGCGGCACATGAACGCAGCTGTAACCATGGCAACAAAGAGGAACACACCGTTGAGAATATAATAAAAACAGAAACGTTGTTTTTCATTTAATGTTATATTTGATATGTTAATATTCAAGATATATGAAACATTACCGTGGGGATAACGCTGTCTGTTGTAACCTCCACGTAGCTGTGTACGTGGACAGTAATCTCGTACTTCTTATGTCACAACGTGTATGCTTATTGTGGTTTACAACTGCAGTGAAATCGTTAAACACAAAGTGTTGTGCTAACAAAATATGGATCATGGTATAGTCGATCTCGGATCTTGGTTCGAGTAAGGGACGCAACTCTGTAAAACGAATTGACGTCATTGGGAGTGTTCGGGGATGCTTCTGTGTAATCTCTGGTCCATGTTGGAGGTTGTCGGGAGATCGGTGTGTTCTGACTTTGTAGATAATTGATTTATATAACAGGCTGCATGAAGTTAAACTCCAAATCTCCGTGATTGGCAACTTATCTCAGTCCGTTTGTAACTAAATTGGGGGCGGTGGGGTAGCCTAATGGCTAAGGCGTTTGTCTCGTAACGCTAAAGACCCGGGTTCCATTCCCTACATGTGTACAATATGTGAAGCCCATTTCTGGTGTCCACCCACCGCGATATTGCTGGAATATTGCTAAAAGCAGCGTAAGTTCGTAAATTCCTGTAAAGTATAATTCCCAAGTATAACTAGACTCGGACAATTGCAATTTCCTCGTCAAAAAGTGTACGTCTAAATTTGTTTTGTACATAGCCTTTAGAAAATATTACCATTTTGGTTTATCTAAAAAAGCTTTAAGTTTCCACTATGTGCAATATTTTTGAAAATTGTCTAAGCTTAATATCAAATTGTCAGCACTTTCTGATAACAACAGTGTGATCTGCATATAATAATGCTAATAATGTTATATACATGCCAAGCTGTTCCTCAATAAATCTATGTACAATACAAAACCCATTTACACAATTGTCACATAAGCGAAGTAATCACGATGGAGAGCAAACAAGAAGGGGATAGATTTTCTCCCTGTCTAACGCCAACATTAGAGCGGAATAATTATACTTGAGAGTGGTGATATAGAATTAATTACCCAAATTACACAGGATAAACTTTGCTGATACATTGGAAAGTATATTTAAACATGTTTTACTAATATTACTTTCAATAATTTAACCCACAATCTATTTCTCCAAACACTAGCTAAGGCCTGACTAACATTTATAAAAGCACATAATACTTTATTTCATTAAGACATTTATATAGATTTCGGTAAGAGATATCAGTAAATAGACATCACCGCTTGCCTTATTAAAACATAGTTCAGTTTTGGACAATAAGTTGCTTGCTTGTGATGACAGAAACAAAATGGCATGCCCCCATATTGACTCACTAAAGTCGGTTGGACTTTACCATGGGTATGGTTTAACAAAACTGTATTTGTTCCAAATGCGAAACTGCTTATCATCTGTCCTTCAAACACCCTGCCACACGTAACAACTGCCCTACTCAAGTTGTTGTGTTGAATATTTAATGTCTATGTCATGAATATGCTTTGGATTTGATATTGGTGAGTATGAGTGGTTTCACAATGTTTTCCTGTCAATGTACCATCAACTTTACTAACTAGGATATGTCTCTGGCAATTTACAAGGATGAAAATGCGAATGTCATGTCATTGTTTTATTTAGGTGAGCTGAGGTAAAATTAAGTTTCAAGAATATTCCTCTCTTTCATGTATGAGTTTGATTTGTGTCTATCAAATTGACCGCAGATAAACGCATACATTGTGGATGAACTTCATAGAGCGTCGCGGGTAGATACACAAGTTTCGAGGCAACATTCCACACAAACATTGTATGCTTAACTGACATGACTTGGTGATAGATATTCACGTGTCTGTCAAGGCAGGACTCGTGACAAACCAGTTGTTCATTGGTCACGAGTGAGTGAGTGAGTTGGGTTTTACGCCACACTAAGCAATATTCCAGCTATATGGCGGCGGTCGCTAAATAATCGAGTCTGGACCAGACAATCCAGTGATCAACAGCATGAGCATCGATCTGCGCAATTGGGAACCGATGACATGTGTCAACCAAGTCAGCGAGCCTGTCTACCTGATCCCGTTAGTTGCCTCTTACGACAAGCATAGTCGCCTTGTGTGGCAAGCATTGGTTGCTGAAGACCTATTCTACCCCGGATCTTCACGGGTCTCACTGGTCACGAGGGGGACATGGGTTGATGTACCCTCTATGAGTGGAACATGAACAAATATTGGGGGTACATCAACCCACGCGCCCGGGGGGACTAGTGAACAACGTATTTATCTTACCGAACACCTCAATCTTAATATTGAACTGTTTGAAGCACGGGTATCGAGTCATAATAAGGAGTACCAGAGTTAGGCAATTAGCCTATACCGACGTGAGACGACAAGAAAAACAAATTTGGAGTTATCTCCTTTCCATCGATTTGCATTTCCAAAACATCGATAATTTCCGTATATCATACATCACTCAATTATTCGAGATAAAGAATTACTAACACGAAGTACCAAATTCCCACAGTTCGATATTCCCAGCAGGTAACATAGAAAATGTTACTCGCTTGTAAGCGGGGTACATTGAAAATAATACAGCGCTCTGCCAATGAAAAACCCGACATTTATGTGTGAGGTAAGATAGTGTAGTTTAACTAACATAACTCGGTGGTAGACATACAGATGTCATACTCCGACCAAAGCAGCCATGTTGACTGCGGTATAAAGTATACCTCACACCAACGTTATTTGGTATAACACAAACCTTTCTACGTCGCAGTCAGTTTATTTCAATACAAGACAACTTATACACATTGTATATATAACAACACAAAGATGTTATAAACATATGGAATACAATAATTGTGATGAATGTTAGCAATTATTTCTATATACGAGTTCTATATAGATGAAGAATAAATTTGTTTAAAACAGAATTGGCAGGGATATTATTGTTCTTCATATTTTGAAGGCTGTATTATTTTGTCTGTGAATTGGAATGTATGTATGTACATCTGAACGTGATGTTTAGGTTGAAGTTGAACCAGGTATTCTTCCCATTCTTGCAACAGCTGTGAAGGGTCCTGTTGTTTTGTGGATCAACTGGCTCTGAAACAGACACAATTTGTCCATGAGCTTCCCTCATAGCAAATGGCATCAGATATCAAATATATCAAACATTTACAACATCTCTATACCCCTCGGAGTTGTAAACTATTATCGAAAAGCTACACCTCACCGTATTAAATCTTATAAACACGTGTTAATTTTATTACAAACGTAACAAATCTTGATCTCACACAATTTGGATGATGGAAAACATTACCAACCATTAATGAAGTATTTCAAGACTTGATCCATACAAAAGATCTGTGATCTATTATGTTTTTAGTAACACAGTCGGTGCGCCTCTAAATTCTTAAATTAAGAAATAAATAAATAAATAGAAATATCACAACTATGTGGTCAGTTGTGGCTATTAAAGCGGAACAATGGGGATGCGGCAGGCAGATAGCCGTATGTACACAAAAGAATATTTGCTGTATCGGTTGTGTAAGACACAAGTCTGTTTTACTACTGAATGCAAGCAACAATAGTGGAATGCCTTTGACCACCAAACGGCATGCATTAAAGTTTGAAATGAAAACAAAAAACCTAAGCCAGTAACTTCATGAGGTGAGAGATCGATTACTTACAGAAAAGCCATTTTCCCGTGGACCCGAATGCAGTGGCCAGGCTCACATATCTGATCTGTGTTAAGGTTCTGTCTGTCCACGACAGGAACGTACGTCTTCCAACCTCTCTTCCAGAACCTACGGCGATAGTATCAGCGCTGAAGCTTATCCAGAATGGCAGGTGCTTGCTTCCAGAAAGCGGTGTGTGGCGCACAGAAGCAAGATTTGGTCCTTGCTTCCTGTTTCTGATGACGGACATGGTGTTTCCCCAGCCTCCTATGACTATTTCGAACATGCTATAATCGTAGTTGTCTCTGTTGCTAAGCAAGGCGATGTGAGCGTCTTTGGTGGTCTTTACCCAGAAGGTGAAGGCTGTTTGTTCGTTGAGGTGAAAGCCCAGATCATCGAGGGAATGGTAGTGGTAGTCGTTGCCCGTTGCAAGGCAAGCCAATGGGAGTATGCGCTCTGTAACATGAACATATCAAAATATATCCTGTTACTTACTACCGCAGAGAAAATGGGTTCGGGTGAGTTGTCGTGGTGTGATTTATGTTATAATATCTTTGTATGATTTCGGTCGTACTCAGATTCTCCCTTTATTCAACAAGAAGTTGGGATTATATTACTTGCAGTGCACAAGTAGCTCACTCATCATCTTGCGTTGCATTGGATGTAACCTCCAGCTCCATCAACATTTCTTGTGTAGGCGTCCACAATAAGCGCCTGTTACGTGGTGAAGTACTGTACAAAGAGGTACAAAGCATAACTCCCTCACCTACTACTTTACTAATGACGGTCACGCTAAGCTACTTACCAAACCTCCACAGACCCGTTGCCCTCCACCCAGTAGACACAGCGATGTACCTGACGGGGTGAGGGGAGGGTCTGTCCACGACATGAACATCCCAACGCCAACAACCTTCCCGGTTCCAACAGAGATCACGCCATCCTCCCAAGAAATCCAGAAGTCACGGAACTGAGTGCCGTTCAGTGGTCGGTGGCGAGCTGTCACCCTGTTGGCGTGCTGCATGCCTGTCCTGATCACTGATTGGGTGTTACCCCATCCACCAATCACAACCTCGTATATGTTCCGATCGGTTACTCCTTCATCCTGTAGCAGGGCCACGTGAGCATCGTTTGACGCACGGACCTTGGAGAAAACAGCTTATCTTTACCACCATTGACATATATTCAATATTTGTAATCAGAATTATTTTTATCTTTAAAGGACATGAAGGAGTGTCTGGTTTCAACTGCTGACCTATCTAGTGCATGTTTACAAACGAAGTGTATTACTCCTCGTAAAGCTATACTTAATCATGTAAGTATTTGTCATTGTACTGTTGGCCATATATATGATGAACTTCTGTTCCAGGTTTGGACCCAGCTGCGAATTGGTGCAAAGTAATTTCCTGATTGCCATTAGCGTGGAAAGCAATCACGTCGCGTGGTCAAGCTTGCGATCGCACTCACATGATTTTTAGGGCGTTGGTCATACTATCTACTACAGGATACCTCGAGAGGGTGTTCGAATCCCGGATGGGACTCAACCCAACAAAAGTAATAGAATCTGTACTTTACTAAGAAAGTGTAAACCCAAATATAACATATGTTACTACAGGGTCATTCGGGATTTCTGACCCAGATTCCACTTTTCACAAGTCGTCATTTAGCATGAATTAGCTGTCTGTTCAAGAAACATCTGACAAGGCTCACCTTGAACGTGAAGGACGTGGCTCTAGACGCCACATCCACACCCAGACTGTGCAGAGACTGGTATTGGTAATCTGTGTTCGTCGTGAGTGAGACATCGGAAGTCGGAGCTGATCCACAGAAAATGTTAGACATATTAGGAAAATTGTAAAATGTTAACCCGTTTCACTGGACTTAGCAAATGACGTTGCCAATCTTACATGTTCGGTTGATATGGGTGATAACAGATTTACGGTTGATAAAGTGCAGTCAAATAGTTAAATCTATACACACAAACACTACTGTCTATCAGTTGCAGTAAAGCGAAGCTACTTACCAAACCGCCACACACCCGTTGACCCCCATCCAGTCGACACAGCGATGTACCTGACGGGGGAAGGGGCGGAATCTGTCCACGACATGAAGCTCCCAACTCCAACAGCCGTGCCAGTTCCAACAGAGATCACACCGCTATCCCAAGAAATCCAGAAGTCACGGAAGTGACTTGCACTCAATGGCCCGTGACCAGCTGTCACCCTGTTATCATGCTGCATGCCTGTTCTGATCACTGATTGGGTGTTTCCCCATCCGCCAATCACAATCTCGTATATGTTCCGATTGGTTACTCCATCTTCCTGAAGCAGGGCCACGTGAGCATCGTTTGACGCACGGACCTTGGAGAAAACAACTTAACATTACAACTCGGAATTCACAGAACCAGGTGTTTTCCATTATATACTCTTCTAATGATCACGATGAAAGAAATAATGGTTTGACTTTCCGTTTATACAGGAATCAACAATTCAATTTATTTTTAAGAAAGCATGACGTAAGTTCCTGATTTACCTTGAACTTGAATGACTGGGCACCTGGAGATAACTCCATCCCCTGTTCGTGAAGGGACTGGTAGCTGTACGTTGAGGTAGTCGCAAGTTCCACGTAAGCTAAACCATATGCAGTACAGACGAAAATAGATTAGAAACGTAAACTCCTTTAATATTGAATGTTTTAGTAACAAACTTTAGTTAGCTCTCTGTGATACATGTTTATTTCATATGTTAAGCTTTTCACTGGAGAAAATGTGTTAATGAAATAAACATGAGCAGTCCCGCCACACTGAGAAGGCTGATTGGAACCTACGAGCGCTCGCACAATAACTTGCATCACTATTAAACAGTATACAACATCTAAAGTATAATAAATCACCAGGTATAGACAACAACCTCCCGGAATTTTTCAAACATTCATCTGATCTTTTACTTCCATATCTGCAGTTTATATTCAACATTATTCTCGACACTGGGAACTATCCTGAATCTTGGTCAGGTGGCATTCTTGTTCAAATCTATAAGAAGGTGATCCGAAAGATACCGTGGAATAACTGTACTTAGTATATTTAGCAAGTTAGATATTATACATACAGTATATTATCAACAAAAGATTAGTTAAATGGGCTGATGTCATGAATAAGATATAAGAGGGTCAAGCGGGCTTTAGGGATAATATCTTTATACTGCATAGTCTAATACGAAGATATCTCAGCCCAGAAGGTGGAAAGTTCTACGCATTATCCGTGGATTTTGCAAAGACTTTTGATTCTGTGCAGCGGAATAGACTATGGGAACTTCTGCAATCGCACGGTCTTAGTAGTAAAATGAATACAATGTTGAAGATTATACACGAAAATGTGTGTGTGTAAGGAATAAACATAAATTATATGTATCTTTTATTAGTGAACTCGGTGTTAGACAAGGCTGTATTTTAGGCCCTTTCCTTTATGCGTATTTCATTAATGAATTGGCAATGCAAATATATGACACATTTACGAATCGGATCCAACTACACCAAGATACAATACAACTATTTCTGCTACTCCGATGATATTGTATTATTTTCTAGTACTGTTAGCGGTTTACAGAAACAAATAGATGAATTAGACACATTTTCTGACCAGAATATATTGTGTGTTAACAGAGACAAAACCAAAATTATCGTATTTAAGAAATGTGGAACACTTTCTAAACTAGGAAACTGGTACTATAAAGGGAAACTATTCAAAACTTCCAGTGTTTAAGTACCTTTGCGTATCTTTCTCTAATAACCTTTCCTGGTCCAAACACACAAAACAAGCGTCAGTACAAGCCTCGAAAGTTTTAGTCGGTGTTTGTAAAAATATGAGATCATTAGGTGAAGTGTCCTTTAACACATTCCTTAAAATATTGAATATGAAGATAAACCCAATATGTCTACATGGCTGTGACATATGGGGATTACTGCAATATGATATTATTGAAAGAATTCATTTACATACATGCAAAGCTTTCTTGGTGTAAAACCGAACACATGTAATATTATGGTTTACGGAGAATTAGGTAGATTCCAATTGTTTATAGATTCCTCCTTTAAAGCCATAAAGTATTGAGCAAGATTACTGCATATGCCATGCCATAGGTTTCCGAAAAAATGATATGATATGATGAAATTGTATGACGAAAATGGGAAAAGAAATTGCATAACTGATGTTAGAGATCTGTTGTACAACTGTTGTACAAAACAGGTTATGGTTATGTGTGGTGTGATCGAAGTGTTCAGTCCCAATCCAAATTTTATCATAGCATTTGCACAAAGAATGAAAGATATGTATTTCCAATATGGGTATGAATCATTACATCTATCAACAACTCTTTATATTATAATCAATGGAAATCTGATATATGTTTCGACGACTATTTAGCAAAAGTAAGTTTCTTATATCTCTCTCTCGTTTTCGTTGCTCTTCCCATGAATTATTCATTGACACTATCAGATATGAAGATATGCTTTACTGACTTCGTAGTAATGCTACCAGGAACATGAGGTATTACCCTCAGGCAGGAGGTGGCTCTGATGTTGTAGCATTATTATATGACTCCTAAACTTCCATCATCTGGTCAGTTGGATGTTCATTTGGACGACTTGTCGGACGTTATGTTAACCTCACGCCAGCTTAATAGACTAACAACTAACATAGAAAGACAAAACTATAAGGTTGAACATTGCTCCTGCGTGTCTGTTGTACCTGCACAAGGTAGACGTCGCTACGTCCATGTGACGATCCTGATTCAGAGTTACTTCCCTTTATAAATAATAGCCGACGAGAAGGTTGATTGATGAAACAAAGATTCAGCTAAGTTTCATGGAAAAAATATACTAGTTGTTGCTTTCATTTTCGGTTGATCCGAGTCATTGCATTAACATCCGACAAAGTCTATAATTGTATGATGCTTGCACGTACATAGGTATATAGTACCTTCTGGCAGAAGGTGCCACTGAGATATAAGTAATGTTATCTCTGAGTGAATTATACATCACAGGATTGCGACAGATCGTGCCAATAATAACATTTCAATATCAGCTCTGAGTGTCCCTGTCCATTGTCGAGAATGTAAATTGCTGTGAATTATCGCCTGCGATAAAAGTGATTTGAGACAAGAGCTCGTAGTTGCAACGACTGTGTGTTTAATCGAACACAAGCGTAAGTGATCCTATGCTAAACCTGTCCTTCATTAGTTATCTGTGACCTGTACCCAGTGCAGGAGAATCACTGTGGGTAAGAAGGGTTATCGTAAATACTCACGCGGGCACCCGTCAGCCCCAAATGACAGCAGTACAGCAGCCACCAGCGTTGTCAACAGCTGCATCTTCCTCATCTTCCCTAGTTCTACAACAAGTACATGTTGTTGAGAGTCATGATCACTGAGATAATGAGGTACAATACACATTGTTTCCTGTAATAGCCAGGGAGTGTTGATATCAAATAATGTCACTCGAAAAGGTTCTGAAATTTGATATAAAGACACCCTTTGGTTGTATGTGGCAAAGTGCAATTTCGATGCATACGGAGTTAGGCAATATCTTAGATTGGAGACGAAACGGTAATTCTGTTCTTAAAAATATATTGAAACAGGTCGGAAGTTGCATTTTATGAAACAAGACAATAACTTAGTTAAATGACTATGATAATGTATTAGGACGGCGGTGTTGTCATTGACTACGCGTATTTCTTATAAATAGAAACGGTATGGAAACTATAATTGCATGTTTAAACCATGTGGGTTTGAAAGGCATTGCATATAGTCGGGTAAAGAAAAAATAACATATACAAATAACTACGGTGATACAATTCGCTTAAAAGCTGTTGTGGACATGATGATCTCTCACGCTGAAGGTATAAACGTAGACGGGGAAAACACGTGGATGCACTGACATAGACATATTCGTTTGTACAGTAAAGACATATTAACTTGAGGAACCCCCGACGTAGTCTGCACGGAACATCACTAGATCGTGCTTAAGAAGAAGTGGGTCATTTGGAACTAGCATTTAGAGTGGGATTTCAAAAAGTGCTTCAATATCGTAGCCATGTTTCAAACTCGACTCTAACATTTCTAGACAATAATTACAACGAAATAAGAAGTTAGACCTAAAAACGAATAAAGTTTAAATGTTTCTTACCTTTAAGCAAGAGAGATCGGTGTTGTGATCTCCTTAGGTTCATTCAAGTTAGTGTGCCTGAGATGGCAACCCCTCATGATTTTATACCTCACAGCTCTACCCGTTTATCATTTACGATTACTCTGGTGTAATAATTCCCAGATGCGTTATCTACCCTATGCTGTCAAAGTTTACTACGCGATGTAGGTGGTAAGAAGATAATCGCAATATTACCTAACAACCCCAGATGGCGTGTCTGCGGACCAACCTGCTAACAAAACTATCAGCGATTGACCATGGCATTTACGACAGGAGGGAAGGGTGGTAAGATTTTTATCTCAATTATTGTATAACATACATATTCTTGGATGGAAATACTTATGTGGTCTTGAACAAGGGATGGGATGTACAAGACAAGAAAGGCCGGTGCCGACACAGCTCTCTAACTTCATCTTTGATTAATTTCCTTTTGGTTGGCTTGGAAGCATTTGCTAATTGGCTCCTGATACGCTTGACAAGTGGGGCTATAAACACGATACACTATGGACAACAACTTGCACATATACGGATTTACTTTGCTAAAGAGACACTGATCTAGAGCAGTTATCAGAGAGTGGTTGTTGCTTTTGTTATTGTTCTTTTTTGTCCTGCTGATGCTCGGACAACATCCCAGAATTCTTGACTAGGTTGTGATCTCTGCTCCACCCCTAAGCGCAATTGGTAGTATAAGGTAGTTTTCTTACTTGATCAGGGATAATCTACAACATGCATTGATCAACAAAGATGAAATACAGATTTGTCTTGGAATTAGCTGGAGCATAGACAGATTTGAAATATGGGTGATTTTTGTGCATTTGATGAACACATTATAAATAAATTTGAACTAAACTTAAATGCACTGAATATTGTGTTAAACCAGAATTGGTTCTAGACGAACTAAACCTACCCCATGAGAGATCAACAAAGGATATAGATAGGACAAATAATTTTGGAGTCAAACTTATTGACATGTGTAAACATCTTAATTTATTAATATGTAATGGTCGTTAAGGAATAGATCATAATGTTGGTAAGGCAACCTGTAAAGACAGATCTGTGGTTGATTATGTTATAACTACTCCACTCTGTCTATCACATTCTAACACTAAACAAACCGAGACTACACCGTGTCATTGTTTACATTACGACAGGCCGACAACAAAGCACGTATACACATTTAAAAAGTTGAAGATATATATCTCAAAAATTATATTTCTACAATGGTTTGTTTGACACACAACTGTAACTCTATAATTATAGAATAGTTTTGCTTGATGTTATGTATATGTATATATATTACATTTATGCAATGGTCGATATCGATCACATCCCATCCTCCATTTCATTTT